AAATTAGATATTATTACTTAAATTAGTAAATTCCTAAATTCTTGTTAATCTGTAACACTAGAACACAAATTAGAGTAAAAGCCAGAGTATGAGTTAATATCTCAGTTAAAGTACAAGTTAAATTAACAGTTAAGGTACCAGTTAGGATATTAGCATAGTTACTGGTGAAGTTTACAAACAGATTACAAGTCAGCTTAGCAGTTAAAATTATAATGTATATAAAGGCCAAGGATTTCCTCAACTCAGTCTTCAGTTTTTTATTCAGTTCTCTAAATTTTAGTTAGTTTTTAGTTAGGATTTATTAAGTAATAAAGTTAATATTACAAAATCCTTTGAGTCCTTGTTATTGTATTCTTTGATAATTGATAAACTGTTTGCTCCTATTAACAAGTCTTCATACCACTGTTAATAGTTAAATGCGCCTCTTTTATAATTGATCGTACTTAATTCCTTCTATGTATAAACCCTTGTATTGTGATTATTTTGACTTGAGATTAGTAATTCTTATAGTTATACTTAGTTTTATTTATTAGTTTTAGTATTATTTTACCCCATTGTCTTTGTAAATTGTAGAAGGTTTACACGGATAACAATATACATACATATAATACCAAGATAAATCAATTTTTAAAAGAAATTAGAGAGAAAGAAATATGTCAAAAATGATGGTTGAATTAGCACAAAGTGTGATGTTACTGAATGAAAGGTAGTTACCAACTAGTCACATTATATTGTATTATTGTTGTTATTATTTATGAATGCATGTTTATATTTAATTTATTCAATTTATTATTTGTAGAAGTATTAAATAGCTTTCTAAAAAGTAAAGCCAGTTATTAAAAGTCATTATTAATTGACATAAATAATCAATTATTTATGTAAGTTTAAAAAAATTTAAGGTATTTGTTCATGAGTTTAAGTGAAAAAGATGTATATAAGATTGGAAAGAAGAAATTAAACAAGTCATCTAAGTCTGCAATAATAACAATTATTTTATCCTGAAAGAAAAGACCTTTAAATCATAAAAAAAAATGGAAAGTTTGCTTGTTTAATAAATTTGAGCTTAAATTTTCTAATTTTAATTTTTGAAAAAGACCAAAAATTTACAACCCCTTGTCTTCAATAATTTATAATATCTTTCATGAATTATCTGTTGCATCCATTACGTTTGCATAGTATCATATATTTTATTTAATTGTAATAATTAATTATACAAAATAAAAGTTCAGGAAATTCAGTTAATTAAATTCTTTATCTCTTTTTTTTCTATTCTCGAAGATTAGTCCAGCAACTGGTGGTAGAGTAAAAGGTCCAAAATTTACCTTTTTTTCAATCTTTCCACTTGGTGTCTTAATTTGATAATTTAAAATTAATTTATGCATACCAATTTTAATTTCATTTACAGCAAAAAATCTGTTTAAAAAAAAAATAAAGTTTTTGATTAATAAATATTTATCAAAAAAAAATATGGAATTTTCTGAAGTTTTATTATAAAGTATTAATTCACCCACCTTCCCGGGCAAGCATGTTTTCCCGAACCAAATACAAAATAATTTCTGTCAATTTTTGATGCCGAGAATTTATTTTCCAAACCATGATAAGGAAGGAATGACCTTGGTTCTGGCCCATATGCTGTGGTATTGTAATGAATATCCATTAAATAAGTTCGTACTATGCGACCTGTCAGACCAGATATTTATTTTTTTTTAATATTTTTTTAAATGGAAAAGATTAAAAAATTTCTAAAATGGAATAGTACCTTTTGGAATTGTCATGCCATTTTTAAGTGTATATGATTCCAAACATTTGTGGGGAACGACGGCTATTGTTTTAAGAAATATTCTCATTATTATTTTTAGTACTTAAACATAATATATATATCGATTTACATACTCAACGCAGAACCAACAGTCCTTAAAGATTCTCTCACAAAACTATCCAATTTCACCATTTCGTTAATATGTTGAGGTGATAATTCTCCATTACATTCTTTATCAATTCTTTCTTGTTCTTCGTAAATATCATCCCATAATTCTGGTCTTCCTGCAAAATCTATAAAGTAATATTCATTATAAAATGAGAGATAATTATATAAAAATGATCATAATTTAATGAATATATAAAATTTCTTTTTCTTTTTTTTTACCATAAAGAGCAAAAGTAAGATGACGAGCAGTAGTGTGAATGGAGACAACAACAATAATATATACAAATTCACAGATTTTATTCAAGTAATCATCAGTAAGAACTTTTGTTCCGTATTCAGGATCATTCAGAAGATATTCAATTATATCCATCTATTGTTATTAAAATATAATTAATTTTTCTTTAATAGTGTTATAGTCACGTTAAAAAATTTTTTTTATACTCACAGGTGGTTCATATTTATCACCAAGAATTCCTTTATCATTCAATCTTTTCTCTAATACAGGCTTCAAATGTTTCTTTAAAGTAATCACGTGCTTTAAAATTGGATTCCATCCGAATCTAAGTGGCAAAGTGATAAGTTGGACATGAACTTTTGGATGAATAAACGAAAGAATGGGAGGTATTCTGAGAATTGATACAAAATCTTTGGTAAAATCAGCAAAAGCTTTGATCACATCTTCATTTTTTGATATTTCCTTTAATAGAAAATAAAGATAAAGATGTTAAGATATTATTTCACATTTAAAATTTACAATTTATCTTACCTGTCCAACCAAAATATCAGCTATGGGACGAGCGATTACGCTTGAGAAATTACCACCCGTGAGAATTAATTTAGGGTCTAAACAAATAAAATACTATTGTTAATATTATTTCAAAAAAAAACCAAAGAGAATAAAAGTGACTTACTAGAACAATCTCCAATTTCATTATTAATAGAAATCATAAGTTGCTTTTGCATTCTTCCAGTGTATAAAGGTAATTTTGCAGCAATTTGGTCACGTACTGTTTTGATTAATTGATACGATGTTTCGGGATGCTCAAGAATTTTTAAAACACGATGTAAAGGAAAATACTAGGTTGGATAATGCATAATATATAAATACAATATAATAAGTAACATCCAAAATAAATACATATTTGATATTTGAAATGATTGACTGGTTTGTAAATTTATTTACATCTTGCATAGCGCCGTCCTTGCTAAAAACATCGGTCCTATAAACTTCATGAACGACTTCGTTTCCAGTTATAGTATTCACCTGACCAAATACATATATATTGAAGGGATCACCGTACTATACATGCGATTTTTTTTGTTAATTTATTGTTTTTAATCTTGACTATTTGAAATGAATTGTTGTTATAATTTACTCGTTGTCTACTTTCGGCCAAAAAATTTTCGGCATTAAATAAATAATCTACTGTATGCCCGATTATTGGAATTTTATAAGGAACCATCGGAGGTTCATTCTGAAGAAATGAAGAAAAAAAGAATGAATTAAAAAGCTAAATACTGTATGACAAAAAAAAATAAAAATTAAAAGTTACTTACTTTACTTAATCTTGGCTTCTTAATCCAATAAATAATATAGATAGCTATGAATACCCACACAAAGGTTGGGATTGTTTCGAAAGAGAAATGCATTTTAATTTTTCGCTCATACAAACAATTTTCTCAATTAAAATTGCTTTATGGTCTCACGAGAATTTGATATTTTTGGCTAGTTTTTTTTCAATATTGATTATATTTATATAACGTGATAATTTTTAATTTTTAATTAACTAAATTTAGAAATTTATTATTTTTATGATTTACAATTTTTAATAGATAATGATATCTTTGAAAATATCGGGTTATTTGTTTAATTTTCGTGATACGTGTTGTCGCGGTCTGCGCAGAACAATGTGGAAAGTTACGCAAATCAGTCTCAATAAGTTTAGGGTAATCACACGATAATTCAATGTATCACTAACACACTTTCTCTTGTGTGCAATATATTAAAACACAGCATCAGTCGATCTAAACCTGCTTACTAACACTCACAAATAATGCAATTACATGTAATATCTGAAGGTTAGATAAGCAAGTGGAGTAAAGTATCTTTATTACTGCTTGCACACTACCAAACTGAAATAGACTTTTAATGTAACTTGCCAAGAAATAAAAGAAATAGTTTATTAAAATTTATTAAAATTTCGTGTAGGAGTATAACAAT